TCTCTCTCTCTCTCAGTCCAATACTAACCTGTAAAACTGGCGTCTTGATGCAGGTACACCGAGGATGGAGCTGGAGCGATGGTGCCACAGGTAAGTACCACTGGCCTCCGCCAGTGTCTCTCTCCGATACTGCTACCCTGCCCTATAGCGCCCAGCGCTGAAGACGACCACTATGGCTATGGCGCCCAGCGCCGAAGACTACTCCTAGCGCTACCACTACTGCCTAGCGCTGAAGACTACTGCAGCGCTCCTCCTGAGTGCTGCGGCCGAAATCCTGAAGACTACAAGTGCCTACTGACTACTACCTCTTGCAGGGCGGGCCAGTCCTTTATAGTGCTGGCCCGTGCAGGAGGCTGGCCGTGCCAATGCCTCCCTGGCCTAGACCCTGCGGAAGCTTCCAAGCAAGAGCCTGGGAGTTCCCTGAAGTTTCCCTGTAGGGAAACAGGCTGGGGCCTGTAGGCCTTGTCAGAAGGAAGCTTCCAGGCAAGAGCCTGGAAGTTTCCCTGTAGAGAAACAGGCTGGGGCCTGTAGGCCTTGTCAGAAAGGAAGCTTCCAGGCAAGAGCCTGGAAATTTCCCTGTAGGGAAACAGGCTGGAGGTCCGGGACGGGCCCTACAGGGCCCGTGTGGCTGCACAGTATGCCACACCCCCCCCTCCTTGAAAGACCGAGCTTACCTACGAGGGCGAAGCTGTCTGTCTGAGGAGGGACCACAGTCCGGGTGGGAGGGGCCGGTCGTGGAGGTCCCTTGGCTAACCTCTGTCGCTCGTAGTGAGCATAGATCAGCGGTGCAGACGCTTTCAAATCTGCTCCTGAAATCCACCGAGTGTCGTCGGGATCGCATGCTCTGAATGTAACTTTGTACTGGCGCGGCTTGCTGCCATACTTGCGATCTGAGATGACGCGGTCAACCTCCTGATGACCATCCATAGAAGGAGGGTCCTACGATCGTCGGCCCGGGAAGTCATCGCTCTTAGCTGGTGTATATGTTGCCAGCTTTGACACATGAAAGACTGGATGGACCGTCAGATGCTCAGGAATGTCGATCACAAATGAAGGGCCATCGGGCTCATCGCCCGCGACTGATGTCACTGTCCATGGTCCAAACCACTTAGGGAGTAGTTTGCGTGAGACATCCTGTTCCAATGCAAACTCTTCCGAGGAGACCCWAACTCGATCTCCGGCGCGGATGGGACATGGTATGCGGCGCCTGTTGGCTTGCTGCTGCATGCGGACTTGAGCCTTTTGCATGTTTGTGCGGGCTTGAGCCAGCAATTCCCTGTACTTCCGAACGGAAGCGGGAGAGCAAGCGGCRTCAATGTYGGTTGGTCGAGGGAGGAGAAGATCAGCGAAGATACRGCCTTTCCGTCCACCGTGGTGCAACTCGAATGGAGTCACACCGATCGCCGGGTGCACTGAAGTGTTGTAGGCGAACTCGATGTCGGGGAGGCGGTCAACCCAATCTTTCTGGTCCGGACGGATGAGCGTACGAAGCATCATTTGAGCGGTCTGATGTGCCCGCTCCGTTTGCCCGTCTGTCTGTGGATGCCGAGCCAAACAGGGTTTCATCGTCGTGCCGGACTCCTGCATGAGAGAGGTCCAAAAAGTCGACATGAAACAAGTGTCGCGGTCGCTGACTATGTCCTCGGGTACGCCGTGGCCACAAATCCAACCGGTGTGCAAGAGGCGTGCCAGCTCGGGAGCCGTGGAGTAGTACTTGCAAGGAAGAAAACGTGCGTACTTGCTCAATCGGTCCACAACCGTGAGGATGCCGTCGTGCCCGAGCCGGTCTCGAGGAAACGGACCGGTGACATCCATAGAAATGGAGAGACCGGGTTCCCGGGGGATAGGCATCGGGCGTAACTCGCCATAGGGATTGCGGTTGCGGGGTTTGCTGCGTCGGCAAACTTCGCAAGAATCGCAATACCGCATAACATCGAAAATGAGGTCTTTGTGGCTGAAATACTCCACAGGGTGCCAATCCTCGCCGTCGTGCTGCTCCAAGACTACCCCAATGCCGTAACCGGAAGCGTCAGTCGTCACTCTCGTAGGCAGAGTGGGGTCGTAGATGCTAAGGACGGGTGCCATGAGCATGGCCGTCTTGAGTGTTTGGAAAGCCTGGCGCGCGTCGTCATCGAATACGAACGGCACCTTTGGCGATTGTAGTCTCGTCAGAGGTGCGGCAATCCTTGAGTATCCGGTGATGAAACGCTGATAATAGCCTGCCAACCCCATGAATGAACGAACGTCCGTGGTGTTGGTGGGCTCGGGCCATACGCGGATGGCCTCGATCTTGTCCGCAAGCGGACGGATGCCTTGCGGCGTCACATAGTGTCCCAAGTACTCTAGCTCTTGCCGCGCGAATTCACATTTGTCGCGGTTGGCTTTGTACTTGGCCTGTCGTAGCCGTTCCAGAATGGTGCGCATGAGCTCCACATGCTCGTCCAAACTCCGACTGTACACCAAGATGTCGTCGAGGTAGATGAGTACGAAACGATCCATCATGTGTCGAAACTCCAATGGCATAGCCGCCTGGAATGTGGCTGGGGCATTCGTAAGGCCAAACGGCATGACCAGCCATTCGAAATGCCCATATCGCGTTTTAAACGCGGTCTTGTATCGGTCCTCCGGGCGAATCTCAAGTTGGTGATAACCCGACTTGAGGTCSAACTTGGARAAGAACTTGGCGCCGCCCAGTCGCTCCAGGAGATCGTCGATGCGTGGGAGAGGGTCGGCGTTCTTGACCGTCTGCGCGTTGAGCTTACGATARTCGATGCACAACCGCAAATCCTTGTTCTTCTTCCGAACGAAGAGAACAGGCGCACCGTATGGCGAAGAGCTAGGCCGAATCYAGCCTTTCTCCAGAAGGTCGTCGAGTTGTGCCCGTAGCACACTTAACTCTTCCTCGCTCATTCGGTAGATGCAACCACGCGGAGGTACAGCCCCGTCCTCGAGGATGATCTCGTGGCGGATGGGCCGATCTGGTACTACTCCGTGCGGGGCCTCGAACACCTCACTATAAGTGGCGAGAAGCTCACTGATGCGTGGGTCCGATGATGCTTCCGTCAATGGGGTGTCCTGGGGCGGGAGGGCGTGGAGAAAACACCCCCCCATCTCCTCAATGTCATCCTTGATGATGGAACCTCGAATACTTGCAGCGGACACCACGTGACAGCTGATCGAAGGGTGAGGAGGAGGCACCGTGCATGGGACTAGCACTCCATCCCGGTCACGAACGTGAACGGTGCGGCGGTAGAAGTTCACCGGGTGGTCCTCACTTCGCAGCCATGACATGCCCAAAATCATGTCGAACTTAGTGTCCAGAATGTCGAAGGACACGGCCTCGCGTGCATGAGGGGCGAAATACACAGGGACGTTGTCAATGCACCGGTCAATTGACTTGTGTGTGTGACCATCGGCCAACGTCACGTGTGTCAGATTGGACTTCCTCCTGGCGCGTGGGCCAAGGCCGGCGCGTACCATGAAGTCCTGACTCATGTAGTTGCGAGTTGCACCGCAATCGATCAAGGCGCTGCAGGTCGCCTCTCCGATCTGAATGCGTACATACAACAATGGTGCGTCAATGTCGTCGTACCGTTGTGTCTTGAACTCGCGGTCGATCTTCGCGATGTACTCCTGAAGGTCGACAACCTCTACTCCGGCGTCCATCAACGGAGTTGGTACTGCAGTGTGCAAATACTCCCGCAATTGTGCCATGAGCACATTGTAATGCGGTTTCCACAATCGACCGGTCGGAGGAA